ATTACTGGGTCAAACGGAAGTTCCATTTTTAGTTTTTTGAGGAAACTCCATACTTTTTTCCACAGCAGCTACACCAGTCTGGATTCCCACCAGCAGTGTACGAGGGTTCCCTTTTCTTCACCTCCTCACCGGCACTTTTTGTTTGATTTGTTGATGGTAGCCATTCTGACAGGTGTGACATGATACCTCATTTTCATTTTTATTGGCATCTCTCAGATGATTAGTGACTCTGAGCATTTTTTCATTGATCTCTTCGCTTTCTGTATGTCCACTTTGGACAAGTGTCCATTTAGGTCATTCGCCCATTTTTTAATTGGATTGTTTGTGTTAATTTTGTTAACTTGTGAGTTTCCTATATGTTTTGTAGCTTAACCCCTTATCAGATGTATCGTTGAGAAATATGTTCTCCCATGTAATAGACTCTCTTGTTTTGCTAATGATTTCTGTTGATTGCAAAAGCTTTTTATTTTCATATAGTCCCACGTTTATTTTTTCCTTAGTTTCCATTGTCCAAGGACAGCGATGGCGAACCTTGTGAGTTCGGCATGTCAGCATTTTGAAAAACCCTAACTTAACTCTGGTGCCGTGTCACATATAGAAATTTTTTGATATTTGCAACCGTATTAAAACAAAGACTTATATTTTTGATATTTATTTTATATATTTAAATGCCATTTAACAAAGACAAATAAACCAAAAAAATGAGTTCCTGTGTCACCTCTGACACGCGTGTTACAGGTTCACTGTCCTAGGAGATGTATCGGTAAACATATTGCTATGAGAAATATCTGAGATTTATGGACTATGGTTTCTTTTAGGACTTTTTTTTTGGTTTCACCTCTAACATTTAAGACTTTTATTCATTTTGAGTTTTTTCTTGTGTATGGTGTAAGTTGGTGGTCTAGTTTAATCTTTTTGCAAGTACCTGTCCAATTTTACCAACACAATGAAACAGACTATCTTGTCTAAATTGTATGCTCATGCCTCCCTTGTCAAAAATTGAGCACAGTGACTTAGGTCAATTTCTGGGTTCTCTATTCTGTTCCATTGAACTACATGCCTGTTCTTGGGGCAGTACCAGGCTGTTTTGATTACAGTGGCTTTGTAGTATAACTTGATAACTGCTATTGTGATCCCTCCATTTTTGTTCTTCTTTCTCAAGATTGCTGCAGCTATTTGGGGTCTTTTTTGGTTTCATGTAAATTTTTGGAGTGTTTATTCTAGGTCTGTGAAATATGCCTTTGGTGTTTTAATAGGAATGGCATTGAATCTGTAGACAGCTTGGGGTAATAGGGACATTTTAATGATGTTATTCTGCAAATCCTTGAACACAGTATATTTTCCCACTTGTTTATATCTTCCTCTATCTCTATTTTCTGTTTTTTCTCTTTATTAAGATATTGAAAATGTGTCCTTATCTCCCCATTGCCCCCCATACCCCCACTCACCCCCCGGTGTCTGTATCCATTGCTTATGCTTATATGCATGCACACAAGTCCCTTGGTTGATATCTATCTCTATTTTCAATGTCCTCTATTTTTTGGAGCATAGGTCTTTTACCTCCTTGGTTAGGATTATTTCTAAATATCTTAATTTTTTGTTGCAATGGTTAATGGGATTGTGTGTGTGTGTGTGTGTGTTTGTTTCTATTTCTCAGAGTTCACAATTGTTGTATAAAAATGACATATTTCTGGTTGCTAACTTTGAATCCTACTACGTTTCTGAATTTATTATATCTAGTAGTTTTTTTATTGCGTCTTTAGGTATAATAACATGACATCTGTGAATGAGAGTTTTACTTCTTTCTAATTTGGATGGCTTTTATTTCTTCTTCTTGTCTGATCACCATGGCCAGTAATTCCAGTACAATTTGAACAAGAGTGTGAAGGCGGATATTCTGTCTTGTTCCCGTTCTTAGGGGATATGGTTTTAATTTTTGCCCATTGAGTAGGATGTAGGCTGTAAGTCTGTCATATATGGCCTTGGTTATGTTGAGGTATATCCCTTCTATTCTCACTTTGCTGAGTTATTTAAAAAAAAAACAGGGTGTTGGATTTTTGTCTAATGCTTTTTCTGCATCGATTGATATGATCATGTGATTTCTTTTACAATCTGGTTTCTTTTTTATTTTTGGTCTTGCAATCTATGTATGTGCTGTATCACGTCTGTTGATTTGCAAATGTTGTACCAGCCTTGCATCCCCAGAATAAATCCCACTTGGTCATGATGTTTGATGTCTTTATTGTATCGCTGGACCTGGTTTGCTAAAATGTTGTCAAGGACTTTAGTGTCCAGGTTCATCAGGGATATTGGCCTATAGTTCTTTTTCTTTTTTCAGTATATTTTATTGATATTTTACAGAGAGGGAGAGGGATAAAGAGTTAGAAACATCGATGAGAGAGAAACATTGATCAGCTACCTCCTGTACACCTCCTACTGAGGATGTTCCCACAACCAAGGTACATGCCCTTGACTGGAATCTATCCTGGGACACTTCAGTCCGCAGGCCAACGCTCTATCCACTGAGAAAACTGGTTAGGGCCTGTAATTCTTTTTCTTTGCCATATCTTTATCTGGTTTTGGAATTAGGATAATGCTGGCTTTGTAAAACAAGCTTGGAAGGGTTGTATACTCTTGGATTTGTTGGAATGGTGTGAGGGGTATAGTTGTTAGTTCTTTGAACGTTTGGTAATACTCTGTTTCGGTAAGCCATCTGGACCAGACCTTTTATTTGCTGGGAGTTTTTTGTTTTAATTACTGCTTCAGTTTCATTGGTAGTTATTGGTCTTTTCAGGTTTTCTGATTCTTCCTGAATGAGTTTTGGAAGGTTGTTATTTTTCTAATATGGGCATTTTGTCCAGGTTGTCCAGTTTGTTGGAATAATGTCCGTCATAGTATTTTCTTACAGTCCCTTGTATTTCTGTGGGGTCAGTTTTTACGGCACCTCATTCTGTGTCTGTCAAGTCCACTTCCCAGTTCTTGCCATTCCCTGGGCATCTTTCCTGATTGTAAATTGTCTGCTCAGCTGCATGTAATTTGTTAATAACAAGTGGGTGCTCTTTGACTTAGTTGTATTTCCAGTTTGGCTCAGGAAGAGATGCACAATACATCAGCCTATTCGGCCACCTATTATTTTATTTTTTACCACTTTCTGATCCTTGCTGTTAAAACCAGCCAGAGTGACCTCCGTACAGCTCGCAAATGCACAGGGCAGGCTCCCACCTGGAGCCTGCCAACCCTTCCCAGACTTCCGCAGTGAAGACCCCCACTGACCAACGCTGGTTTCACCTCCCCCCATCGCTGCTGTCACCTCTCACAGGTATCCTGGTCCATTGTGTACTGTCCTCCACTAGATGTCAGTTCCCAAGGACAGGAGACTCTGTACTTGGGGAATCTGAAACAGTTGAGCTCAACAGTATCCAAACCCACAGTCTTTATGTGTTCCTTATGCCCACCCATGGCTGCTGAGCCTCTATCCAGCCTGATTCAAGTTCTCATCCCTACAGCCTTCCCTCAGCCCACCCGCTCAAGGAACCTGGACCATGAGCTGGCAGGAACATGTTCACAGGCACCCAAACTCTCTGCCCCCTCAACCGCACCCCCAGCAGCACACTATTCCCCAGAATCCAGGAAATATGCCCTCATTTCAGGTCTTCCATGCACAGGCAAAACTTAGGGGCGGGGGCACACCAACCACAAATCATCCTCCAAATGTGGAATTATATTGAGACCAATCCTCTCCTTCTGGAAATGCTTGTATTACAGAATGTTCCCACCATTGAAAATAAACAAAACCATATCCTGGAGAATCCATGCTACCTCCAGGACTGCTGCGGGAGGGGTTAGGGGAGAGGTGTGCTGTATTTTTAATAAAGTGCAAAATAATCCCTAAAATGAAGAAAAAGAGACGTAAACACCAGTGGGTCTCAGGGGTGTGAATGGGTTGGCGGGAGGCAGGATTTTCTAAAGGTGAACTGATTTCAGGGCCCATAGCATCAGGGGGCTTCTCCCAGATACAGAAGTAGGTTCATTTGCAGCAGGCCAGGTGCCTGGCGGGTGGGGAGGAGCAGGCTGGAGAGACCTCTGGATGGAGAGAAAAGAGCCCTGGACAGTACATCTCAGGCACACACAGAACTCCAATCCCTCCCAGGGCCTTGCCTCTCTGCCAAACACTGGGAAGGGCACAGTGAGCCCACCTGCAGTGGGAACATCCCAGGAAAAGGCAGGAGTGAGCAAAGGTGGGTGGTGCCGGCAGAGGCCCCATCTCAGGGCACCAGGGTGAATGTTTGGATTTTTTGGTAATCCTCACCTGAGGATATTTTTCCATTGATTTTCAGACAGAGTGCAAGGGAAGGGGGAGAGGAAGGGAAAGACTGGGAGAGACATCAATGTGAGAGGGAAGGAAAAATTAGATGCCTCCTACAAAGCTCCATGGGGCCAGGATCAAACCTGCAAATAAGAACCACAAAGTCACGCAGTCTTTATTTCAAGGCCGTGGGCAGCAATGCACTAAAAGCCAATATTGGTCAAAGAGTGATTTCCTGGCACTATGCTGTCCCTCCTAAAGCACAGAAACGTTGGGATCCACACAATATCTGTAAATTATACAACGTAGACCACAATAGTGCTTGAAAATCATCCCTGGGGGTGAATATAACCAAGAAAATTAAAGGTACTAAAGAAAAAATACCTTTACTAAAGATCACAAACCAGAAAACAGGACAAGGCGGTTTGCAGGTTGGTGAATCAGAATTTGAAACAATTCATCACAGCATTATGTGAGAACCACATGTCCCGGACAGAGGCCACACTTCTTAGCTGAGGAAAGTGCCCTGTATGAACCCTGGGTCAGGTGCATTACCTCCTCGGAGATAAATGAAGATCCTGTCAGGAGCGGAGGGTTCCTAATGTTCTCAAGCACAAGTGACATCACAGAATACATTTCCCCTTAGCACGCAGTGGTTGGGACTGATACACACTCTTCAGGTGAGCCAGGTTGTAGAGGGAAATCTCTTCAGCCACAAATCAATCGGGTAGAAGACCTGGGCATGTTACAAAGTGCTATGCACCTCGTTTAAGCTTCACCTGTACTGGTAACATGAGGAATCTAGAAGAGTGTATGTTCCATTAAAAGGGGTTTAAATTCAGGAAAATAGGTCACAAAGAGTCTCCTTCATTGTTGTTATTCTAAGTGAATAAAAGGAAACATTCCCTGCACATTTAAGACTTCTCTCCAGTGTGAACTCTCAGATGTTTATTAAGGTAGGCTTTTTGGCTAAAAGACTTCCCACATTCAGTACACTCATGTGGCTTCTCTCCAGTGTGAACTCTGAGGTGTTTAGTGAGGTGATGTCGTATACGAAAGGACATCCCACATTCTCTGCACTTATATGGCTTTTCTCCTGTGTGAACACTGTTGTGTTGTGTGAGGTTAGACCTGTAACGGAAGGATTTCCCACAATGTCTGCACTCATATGGTTTCTGTCCAGTGTGAACTCTGAGGTGTCCAGTGAGCTGAGCCTTTGTACGAAAGGACATCCCACATTCTCTGCACTTATATGGCTTTTCTCCAGTGTGAATGCTGTTGTGTTGTCTGAGGTTAGACCTGTAACGAAAAGATTTCCCACATTCTCTACACTCATATGGCTTCTCCCCACTGTGAACTCTGAGGTGTACACTGAGCTGAGCCCTTGTACGAAAGGACATCCCACATTCTCTACACTCATACGGCTTCTCTCCGGTGTGAACTCTGAGGTGTCTAGTGAGCTGAGTCCTTGTACGAAAGGACATCCCACATTCACTGCACTTATATGGCTTTTCTCCTGTGTGAACTCTGTTGTGTTCTTTGAGGTTAGACTTGGAGCTGAAGGATTTCCCACAATGTCTGCACTCATATGGTTGCTGTCCAGTGTGAACTCTGAGGTGTACAGTGAGCTGAGACCATGTACGAAAGGACATCCCACATTCTCTGCACTTATATGGCTTTTCTCCTGTGTGAACGCTGTTGTGTTGTCTGAGGTTAGACTTGGAACGGAAGGATTTCCCACAATGTCTGCACTCATATGGTTTCTGTCCAGTGTGAACTCTGAGGTGTACATTGAGCTGAGCCCTTGTACGAAAGGACATCCCACATTCTCTACACTCATACGGCTTCTCTCCGGTGTGAACTCTGAGGTGTCTAGTGAGCTGAGTCCTTGTACGAAAGGACATCCCACATTTACTGCACTTATATGGCTTTTCTCCTGTGTGAATGCTGTTGTGTTGATTGAGGTTAGACTTGGAACGGAAGGATTTCGCACAATGTCTGCACTCATATGGTTTCTGTCCAGTGTGAACTCTGAGGTGTACACTGAGCTGAGCCCTTGTACGAAAGGACATCCCACATTCTCTACACTCATATGGCTTCTCTCCGGTGTGAACTCTGAGGTGTCTAGTGAGCTGAGTCCTTGTATGAAAGGACATCCCACATTCACTGCACTTATATGGCTTTTCTCCTGTGTGAACTCTGTTGTGTTGTTTGAGGTTAGACTTGGAGCTGAAGGATTTCCCACAATGTCTGCACTCATATGGTTTCAGTCCAGTGTGAACTCTGAGATGTTCCATGAGGTGGGTCTTCTGACGAAAGGATATCCCACATTCACTGCACTTATATGGCTTTTCTCCTGTGTGAACTCTGTTGTGTTGTTTGAGGTTAGACTTGGAGCTGAAGGATTTCCCACAATGTCTGCACTCATATGGTTTCAGTCCAGTGTGAACTCTGAGGTGTTCCATGAGGTGGGTCTCCTGACGAAAGGATATCCCACATTCACTGCACTTATACGGCTTTTCTCCTGTGTGAACTCTGTTGTGTTTTTTGAGGTTAGAGTTGTAACTGAAAGACTTCCCACACTGTTTGCACACATATGTCTTCTCTCCAGTGTGAACTCTCTGGTGTCTAACGAGTGAAGGTCTTTTTCTGAAGAACTTCCCACATTCATTACACTGATACTGCTTTTCTCCAGTGTGAACTCTATGTCGAATGACGTTCAAGTTTCGTATAAACACTTTCCTACATTTGTTACACTCATAAATCAGTTCTCCAGAACACACACCCTCACACTGAACAACTTTCAGGTTGTGGCTGGCAGCGTTTCCACATTCATCCCACCGGTGATGACTTTTTCCACGGAGAAATTCCTGTGAAATCTCACTGCTACAGGGTAGCTCCTCAGTGTTGAGAGTGGCCTGGTGCTGGGGAAGCTCTGGGTTGGACTGCAAGTCTTCCCCAACCTCCCTGCTGGTTGAAGGCACCGAAGGGAAGGAGAAGCTGCACCTGCTCACAAAAGAGGCCCCGTCCATAGCTTCTTTCCAGGGCCCCTCTCCACATTCATTCTTTTGTTGCTGGTGAGGGTTTACACTGAAACAGAATTCTCCAACACATGCGTCGCTACTGAAGGCTTTCTGCTCAAAGTACGCTGCATGTGACCCAGTCGGGTGCAAAATATGTTGCAACAGAGAGAAACACTGCCTACAGAGATTGTTCTTATGGGTGTCTTGAGCTGTCTTAGAAGTCCTGACCTGTGACTTGCCTTGTCTACATACTTGCTGATCAGAAGAGGCCTCCTCATCTTCCATTTTATGCCAACAACCTGAAAAGTGAGAAATGGTGAGGAAATGAATGTTGAATGTGGTGGCAGGGGGAAGTCCCATTGCAAAAGTGTGTTACACATCGCACGTTGGTTCCATGCAATTGTCTGAAAATAAGAGATGTGCAGGAAGGATTAATAAGAGGCTCTTGTGACTTTCTACGCTAATGAAGATCACAAAACAGGGAGGCCTCACCAGAAATATGACACAAACATGGCAAGCACCACATGGATGAGAATATGGATCTCCAGCCCATCCTTCAACTAACAGCATTCTGCACGTATTGTTTACCAGGGATGGGGGGTGGAGGAGAGCTGTGGAAGAAGTTGTTTAGGTCTTACTCCACGTAAAATTCAATAAAGGAGTAGCTGGTTTCAAGGACTAATTAGCACTTCAATGCACATATCACATGTACAAGTCAACGTTGCAGATTACTGCAGAGGCACCAATGCAGATGAACAGGTGATGAAGAAGTGAGTAGTCTGCACTGGGCCAGAGCTAAACAGCTTGCTATAGTATTCAGGGAAGAGAGTATTACATACATTTGAATGGGGGCCTTACCAAAACAGCCCATGGTTTATGTAGGTAAAGACCATAATGTGGCACAAGAACGCGTACCAAGAGAAAGAGGGCAGAAGTAGAAGCCATGCATGTGGACACTGTCAGCCTTATATGAAGAGAAAGTGCAAGCTGGGACCCATTAAACTCACTGCTAGGCTCTTGACTCCCTGACACTTCCTGTACTTTTTGAGGTTACGGGTGTTAGGGATGTTCCTGGAGTCCTTTACTCAGGGCTCCCCATCCAGCTCATCCCTGGCAGCCACAGCACATTTGACAGGACAGTGAGGGCCATTAGCAGAGGCCATGTTCTGGCTGTGGGAGAGAGAAAGCTACGCCTGAGGTGTAAAGAAAGAGAGGTCATCACCTCAGGACACTGGGAGAATGTGAAGGTCTTACCTACAGATGATACAAGGGCAAACACTTCCAGCATCACATCGTAGTACAGAAGTCTCTGAGCAT